AACGAAGATGCAAGGTAAAGGCATAATCCTGTGGCTCAAAAAAAGGTGCCTGCGATACACAAAATCCTAATCGTTCTCCTTTGTAGTTTAAAAATGGTTTGTGCTGCAGTATTGTGCCCACACAATGGAAGTGCTTAAGAAATTTTTGAATGAAATAGTGTAAAATAACAAGTTTTAAGGGTATTGGAACTTATATAACTTTACAGTCTTGTTATTAAAAATATCAGACTCGATAAAGCATTTCATTTGTATGGTGTGACCACGGCAGCTTAAGACTATTAACATAAAAGTGTGTTTTACAGAATAACAATGAAAAAAAATAGAAAAACGCAAAAAATAGTAGGGCAGTACAGTGGCACTTACTTAAAACCAACAAATATATAAAAAGTTTCAAAATACAACTATTTTTGACCACTTTAGGGTTCCATGTAGATAACCTATTGAAAAAGAGTTGACTTGAACTTTTTTTAGAGGAGTTAAACATTTTATAGTTTTTGGCGGTATATTATACAAAATCCCAGTAGTATAGTGACAATTTTTCTCAGCAAGAGACAACGTACGCATACGACGATTGTATTCTAGATCGAAACCTAACTATTTTCCTCTTGTCTGATAAGGGTAGTTAAATTTTAAGTACGAAAGCTAATTTTCATGAACATGAGCGAAGGTTTGGAGTGTAAACTAAATTTGGAAGAAACCCGATTGCTTTTTTTAATACAGAAATACTCAATTTGAGTTCTAGGAAAGTTCCCAGTTTAACCTAAAGTAAAATGGTGCATTCTGTTGTCTTGAGAATTAGGCCATTTTCTTAAAATCAAATATATTATCACATGGTGTTACTTATTGTTCATAGGTCGTAATTCCAGAGGTGTACTGCTGGTCCGAGGATTTCTGCAATGAATTCCGGAGAAATTTCAAGAAATTTCAGAGGAATTTCGCTGAATTATAAGTACTTTTTGAGGTTTTAAAAGTGGTCCAATCAGAACCTGTAATTTTTCTTCTATGAGGGAAAATTGGAATGCTTAATATGGAATATATTTTGATCTTTTAAACAGCAATGAATGGAGCATTTAAATTTTATTTTTTTCAGGATCGTAATCAGTCATTTAAATTAAAAAAAAAACGTGATTATATGCGTTTTAGGTTCTTTTCGATGGTTTAATTTAATTTAGCCATTTTTTAAATTACCAAAATATTATTTTTCGAATTTTTAGTAATTCATATCCTTGTAATGAAATAATTTATTATGAATTATATTAATGTATTGTTTCAAAATAGCATTGACATAACATATTAATAAACATAATCAATTTACCAAAATTTTAAACGATAGTATTTTTGGGGGGTAAGACAATAAGACAAGAAAATAACCATTACAGAAATCAAATAAAAAGATTCCAATAAAACATGCAAAGCTTTCATTAAACAGAATTATTCCAGAAATGTTGAAATACGATCCTGTACGTAGTGTTTTAATAGTTTTAATTTCAGGGAGTACGCCTGCGGTACAGAAGCGCCCACGCAAATTTTATTCCCTTTTGCATTTGGCAACTTATTTCAAACTTCGGCTGTTTATTTGGCCTTTTGCCTCTTTACCCCTCGCTGCCTTTTATTTTGCACGGTACATTCTCGAGAGCTCGCAAACGGGAACAAAGGCTTATTAATGTGCTTATTATCCATTAACAAAGATTCCGCCTTACGCTACCGCTCTAGCGCAAGAGGCGTCCCGTGTCTAATGGCTTCGGAGCGAGGTAAACTTTTGCCAGGTAAAAGAGTAATCTCAAGATAAAACGAATGCGTCCGCTGCTTTTATAAATTGCCCGATTGAAGTTACGCTCTCTTGGACATTTATCCACACCAGTAAATTCCTTCTGGGTCTTGTTAGTTTCCACTCGAAGGAATCTGATGATAGTATCAATTATATTCTCAATCGGATTGTATGGATAACTTTTAAGCTATTAGAGATATACTGTGGTTAAATGCAAAATTAATGTCAAAATTAAATTATCAGAGCAGGACTAGGATTTATAATCCAATTTTCTTCCTAGCACATTTATTTATAACTGCACAGTCAATTTTTTTTTTAAATTAGTAGGGTTCAAAATTAGACGAGAGCCGTTAAAATTCACTTGTTACTTTCGAAAATCGAAGAAATCGAGTTTTCCTGAAAAATTATCCACTTCGCACCTCAATTTAGTTTTTAAAATAATTCCCTATTCTCAGTAACCAGTAACATTTTCTTAATACGTGTAATTTGTTCGGTATTCTGCCTTACCCTAAATCTGCTGATCATCCATCTCACTTCTGAAATGAAGATGATCAACTATTACTACTCGCCTCACTATTAAAACTTCAAAAGGTGTATTTATCGGACACGTCGTCTTTACATATTGACATTTATGAATGTAATAGAATACAGAAAAGAAGGTAATATATTCTTCTTCTAGCAACACTTCATGGGAATGGAGGTTTTTGAATTACGAATTATTTTTTCAAAATTTTAAATTCATTTATTATTTTTAAGAAAATCAAACGGGGAGCTGAACTGGAATAAAAAAAATGGCGGCAAAATACCGTTGAAAATGAAGGCGCCGTTTTGAATCTCGATTTTAATGCAAGCGCTTTTCTATCCGCAAGGTCCAACTCGACGCCTATCTATGGAACGGCGTCGCTATCAATACCGAGTGATCATTAATTATCGGGCTTTAATAAAAGCGTCGCTTTCGACGCCATTTTATTCGTACGGTTAAAGGGCGGTCGTTTTTCACCGGCGTTCCTCGCGAAATTTTTAAGAAAATTGCGGTGCTCCTTCTTTTTTTCCGCCGATATTTCGAAGTTAAACGAAGATTAATTACCATTGGCGAGTATTTTAATCCAATTCCGGAATTGCACTTGTTCTTTCCCACGCGATCGAGTTTCACCACCGATCGACCTGTTTATTTCTCTCAATGTACGGGATGTTATTAAATGACTGTGCGAACTGAGTGAAAAGTACGGAAAGTCTCAGTAGGATATTTCTTTGTGACTCAGGATCAAGCGGTAGATTTTAGTCACGGATGGTATTTTGGCGACGTTCAGCTGGTGCTGTAGTAGTATATTATGCAACAAGTGCGGTAAACGGCATTTGACTCACGAGTTTATTTGACACGAGCGGAGCGAGTTTTTAATAAACGAGTGAGTTTTATTCCTAATTCTAAATATTACATAATACGTTGTTTATTTTTTGGTATCAACAGAATAAAAAAATCCACTGGAATGATATCTGGAGATCTTGCAGGCCTTTCGATTGACTCACTGTCCGGAAAATACTGTATTTATAAAAGTACACATGAGGCAGGGCGTCAGGAATGACATCTAAAGTAAATCAGATCTTTTATAACAGAAACAGTGAATTGTCGCTCAAAATTAGCAACATAAATACTGTGAGCCAAGCTAACTGCCGAAAAGGCGGAAAAGTTGAAACTCATCGATTTGGTTTCTGAGGATTTTTAGCCAAAAACGAAGAGCATCGCAACATGCTTTTGTTTTTGACCAGTTTGTTGACACTTGCTAGGATTTGATTTTCTTTTGGTAATTCCTTAACACTTTGTCGATATTTGAAAAAGCGCAAAAGATGAAAAGAAAGTGATAAGGTGAAGGTGATAAGAGAAGCAGAATTTGAATGAAAACCCCAGAATCCAGAGATTACAAGAAAACTAAAAAATTAATATTTGGAAATTTCTACAACTGATTCTATATTTCGAAAGACCTTTTGGATTTTGTTTTTATGCGAAATTCATCGACCTACTCACAACATTTTATTTAGTATTGTTTTAATTAATTACATTCCAAATTTATATTATTTAATAATAATAATGTTAGGAATAAAAAATATTAAAATAGACAATTATTTTTTAGGTATTTGCCGACGTTTTCGGCAAAAATATGACCGACTATCAATACGCAGATATTGTCCCAAATGTGAATGTATATGTACACCGTGTGCCAAATAAAATCACCCACTATACGATCTGGAAACCTATAGGAGATACGAAAAAAAGTTTCCTACAAAAGTTTCTTGGACTCTCTTAAAGATTTAAAATATTATAATTTTGTTGATACAGGGTGTCTTAAAAGTGTATCCTCCGACATCAAGGTTCTTATTTTAAACGGAACACTCTGTACATATCGACATATTATTGCTAGCAATAATTTTTATTCGTATATCTGGGGCATTATATCTTTAAAAGAATTAGTATCATGTTTTTGCTATTTAAAAAATACCTAATATTGCCAACAAGTGACCTAATGTAGGCAGATTTAAATTCAATAAGAATTTGTACGGTTCTTATCGTATACCTGGAATATCTCAAACAGTAAGTAAAATTTAAATATAAGATGAATTACAAAGTTACCTTATTTTTTTTGTCTTAGAATTGATATCTGAATAAAAATATAGAGTGATCCATCTGAAAACCTTGAGATTTTGGTAATTAAATTCGCCAAGACGGCACCACGTATTTGGGGCACCCTGTATAAGCTGAGGTGCATCTATCAAACTGATTGAGTAGTGCATCATCTCTTTAGTTTGTGGTTAAATTTTCGTTGCAATAACTGGGTCAGTAGCGTCATAACACAATTTTAAATGGGGCAATCAAAATATGAGAAAAAAACACATAACCTGAATTTCTGCCTGAACTATGCAAAATTCGAATAGGAATTAATTAAGAAACTGACCTTTATTTTATCCAAGTATTCCAAAAAGATCAGTATATACAGGGTGTTCCATTTAAAATAACAAAGTTGATGTCGGAGGGGACAGGGGAGAGATATTAAATTATTTAAAAACGAAAGACCTTAGAAATAGATTTAAAAAACAATTATTTTCGGTGTAATCTGAATCCGGAACAAATAATAATAATGTACAAAACTTCATGAATTTCGCGAGTGAATAGCATTTCCAGATTGTCGTCTAAATATGCAAATGAAACGTAAGTAATTTGTCGTTGTCTCTGTTCCAGATCTTTTCGACACGGGCGGCACCAAAGGACGCTCAGCCCTTATAAGATGCAGGTAAGGACAGAACGCGGAGAAAAAAAAAAAGAAGAAATAATCCATTTCTATGCAAATTGGCTCGAGATTTTCAGTTCCAGCGAAGTTTGCCTACGGGGACTGATACGAGGAGTTCTTTTATTTTACTTTTGCGAACTTTGGTGTTTCAGCTTTGGTCCAGATAAGGCCGTTCAAACGCGAAAACGCTGCTTAAAAGTTTCAAACTTTTTTTTTGGAATTTCTTTTTCTTTGCATAATTAGTAATCCTGACAATTATATTTTGGATTTCAAGATTTAAAAATTATAAAAATGGAGATAGAGTAGCTCGTCAGTCTGTATGTATAATACAAAACAGATTGTTTATATTATTTCTGAATTTTTCTACTTGTTTACCTTTGTGTGGTACTTTGTACCTTTCATTCTTTTATTCTGCTTTGAACCAAGTGGTGGTGTGTGGTGGTGATATAATTTAACTATTACTTACTAATAATTTCACGCTGGTGTTAATTAAGAAACAATTTTTTAGATGGTAAATTCTTGTGTTCCAATTTCTTTTATGTTTGGCGGTCAACTTGGACGCTTTTATTACGGATCTGTAATTGCCATTATATTCTGACTAACAATTTTTTTTAAAACGGTAGAAACTAAAATCAATCAATCAATTTTCAGGCGTTTTGTTTTTATGAGGTTAGATTATTATACGTTTTATTTTATATAAATATTGACAGAATAGGAAATTTGTATAGTTTTATCTATAATTTTTCCATTTTCGACCAATCTTTAATTTTATGTCAAAAATTATGTTTGCGTGACCTAAAATAATTAATAAGGGAGCCTTAATTCGGGAAGGGGATATTTTGGATATAAATTAATATGAGGTGAGCAGAAACGAAGTACAAAAATGAAATTTTATAAAACATAAAAAGTAATTTTTTGTATCTGATTTGGCATTTCTTTAAAATTGCTTTTTCGGGAAATTTATAGTTTCCGAAATAACTGACAATTTAATATTTTCCTATTGTAATGATTCTATAACACTGCTGTTAAGTTATGTTAGTAGTTAGCCAGGCTACTGAAGACTTAACAAATAGAAGAAATTTTTAAATCGAAGTTAGAAAATTTGAACTAATAAATCCAACTTACTCTAAGTTTAAGAATTTTATTTTAAATGTAATAGTTACACATGTTGTGTAATAATTTATAATTCTGTTTGTGTCAGACTATCCCTTTCTCATACTTTAAAACACCTGCTCCCTCAAATCAATTCAATTCTGCCAAAAAACTGTTTTTTCGGGAATTCCTTATGGATATTTTCTCTGATATTATTTCGTGATAAATGCGATACTTTTGTTGGTTTTCAATATTTTATAACAATCATATTGTTTTTTATTTACTCTTTTATTTTCTAAACACATTCTGACTTTTAAATCAAATAATAAATCAATGGCAAAGAACGCGTGTCAAGGGTTGACCGATTGTCTATTTTTCGCTTGCGCTCCGCCGTCATGGCCAACTATTAAAAAAACTTAACAGCTGTAGTACAGCGTTGTTAAAATAGGGAAATATTAAATTAAATATTAATTTTTAAAGTCAAGTCAAATCAGATGAAAAAAAATAAAATAGGGGTTTCCCTTTGAAAAAAAAAACTACTTTTTATATTTTTTATAATTTAATTTTGTAACTCATTTTTGATCACCAAATATTAATTCTGCTGTACTTTTTAAGAATCAAGTAAGTTGGAAAAGAGGATTTTAAAGAAATTGGGATTAAAATTTTCTTGAAAAAACTTTTCAGTTTTTTTCTATTTTTTCTTGTTTTACTTTTGGAATTTAAACGGATTAGATTCAGACCAAATATAGAATTAGTTTAAAATAGAGTAAAAAATTGACTTATGTGATCAATTTATTTGTTAAAAGATGTAAATAATTGCAATCTATAAAAATAGTTCGTATTTTTTATAAACAAAAAACTTATAAGTTCACTTACTTCCTAAAATATTTTAAAAAATACACAGAAGAAGTTTGGGGTGATTATTATATATTAAAATCCAATATTTTTCGAATACAGTTAGTATTTATTATGTTCTATGGTTCTATGGTTTATTTGTGTTCTATGGTAGAAAACTGATATTTTCCCAGCTGAACGGGACACCATTAAAAATTAAAAATTAAAAAATCTATGCAACTTTTCTATTTTACTTTTTTTTCTGTCATTCGTAGTTTGTGAGTTATTTTGAATACTCTGCACACATATTAAAGCTATATACTGATTGAATAAATTATCCGAAATGAAATTATAACCCTTGGAAAACTTAAATGAACAAAAACGTCTTTCAATAATCTTATCTGAAACAGATAAAGATAGTAATTCAAATTGTTGGTATTTCTATCTCTAACTCCTGAGTTGCGCTACAAGCACAGTATAATGGTAGTTCATTATTTTCGTTCAATCCATTACTGCCTTTTTATTACTTTTCCTCATGCTTACTATTGCTTATTTTGCTTTTCTTTTTATCTGGTTGGGACAGCATTACAAACTTAACTTTTTTTTTTATACTAGAATTTATCTCTGAATAAAAACATAGTGTGTTCCATTTGAAGATCTTGAGGTTTTGTTAATTGAATTCGCCAAAACGGCACCGCCTATTTGGGACACCCTGTATAAGCTGAGGCGCATCTATTAAACTGATTGAGTAGAATATGATCTTCTTAGCCTGTGGTTCAATTTTCGTTGCAATTCCTGTATCAGTAGCGTCACAACACAATTTTATATGGGGCAATCAAAATATGAAAAAAAAAAAAACACATAACCTCAATTTCTGTCTAAATTATGCAAAATTCTTAAGAAAGTGACCTTTATTTTAACTAAGGTTGAAATTTACAGCGTGTATTTAAAATAAGCAAGTTGATGTCAGGGGTGACTTTTGGACAACCTGTATCAAAAAATTTATGGGTTTCCGGATCGTATATTAGTATCGTTCGATCGTTTTATTTGGCACCCGGTGTATATTATATGACATAAGTCGTCTCAAAAATTGTATTGCAAGATGAATTGCCAGACTGCATTTTTTCCGGCCTCCTTAAATTTGTCGAAACAAGCTTGTAAATTATTTTGATTTATCCGCTACAACGCCCAGTATATAATTACCGAGAGGCGACAGTTGATATCCCAAGAACGCCAAATTAAAAAATTTCCCCTTTACTTGACTGTCTCCCGAGTTTAATTTAAAATTTAATTAACTCAGTTATTCCGACTCGTCGCTAATTTCTTGTTTTTTGTTTCGCGTGTACTTTACGGAGCAAAAGTTTTTAATGGAGTTAAAAATTCAAAACGAACGTTGCCTTGAAGCGAAAGCCGCTTCCGCGGAGACCGTAGACGGAATTTAATGCGACGAGATCCGAGTGGCCATATTCGATTTCCGAGATATTTTCTATAAATTTTGTCAAGATGTTCTTTCTGCCCACACCCTCCCATCTTCTCATATTGCTACTTTATTGAAATTTACATAATAACACAGAGGAATTCCTGCAAGCTGTCGTCGCGTGTGCGGCAACCAGACAAAAAGAAAAACAAAATAAGTAATAGTAAGCATGGGGAAAAGTAACAAAAGGCAGGGACGGATTGAACGAAAATAATGAACTACCATTATACTGTGCTTGTAACGCAACTCGGGCGTTACAAATACCAACAATTTGAGTTACTATCTTAATCTGTTTCAGATAATATTATTGAAAGACGTTTTTATTCACTTAAGTTTTCCAATTTCATTTCGGATAAATAGAACTACTTAGAGTAAACACCTGAAATTGGTTGGTTACTTATGTAAGCTAATATGAACTCCCTTTATATTATTACATTTTTAGAGTCCACGAGACATTCTGGAACTTTTTTATGTAAGACGAAGATGTGAACATTTTCCGAGATAAAAAATACTTAAGAAATTTGGCAACAACCCTATATAAAATAATAATTCTTTTTTCGCAACCCGTTCCCTATTAAATTGTTTTATGATAATATAGTATGAGGGTTTATAAAATTCTTGAACCAATAATAAACAAATCCTTCTTGGTTTCTCCATTGTAACTCAGAAAATTACAGTATTTTTTTTTTTTAATTCAAACAGTTTCACATTTGAGAGATTATAACATTTTTGAATCAACAATGAACGAATAATTTTTTGTTCTGTCACACAACTCCTTGACTAACTAAAACCAGTAAATGCAAAAGGCCAGTGGCATATGTTTGTAAAGAGAAATTCTTTGCAATATTTAATGTTAATAATAAAAGAAAGCGTATTAAGTTGTTTGTTATACCCGAAACCTACGGTATGTGAGTTTATGGTAATATATATAAATGAAAGTTTATAAAAATGAAGATCAATGACCCTTTTCTTTGTTCTGCCGAGTAGCTCAAAAAAGAATGCTAATAATTTCATAACTAACCAAAAAATATGTGTGATATATATATATATATATACATATAATCAAAAATTAACAAAACTTGTTTTCGCTCCGCCTTGTGAGTCAAAAACTGACACTAACAATTTCTAACTAACCAAAAACTAATAAAGAAATGGGAACTTGATACATTTTCGTAAAAGGATAATTCTTGGGGAGTATAAAACATTCTTGAATAGAGACACTGAAAATTCCACAACTAAAATTCAATCAACAAACGATTTTTTGTTTTCTCTTGTAACGCAAAAATCACAGCAGCACTTTCTTGACCAACTAAAACTAATAAATAAAAATGGCGGGTGACATATTTTTGTAAACACAAAAATATTTAGTGTTAAAATTAATTAATTAATCTTAAAAAATGTTTCGTATTTGAGAGTTTATTACAATTTTAAATCAAAAATTGACAATATTAATTCATCAGTTATTCACAACTTATAAAGAGAATGGGCATGCAACATTATGCTAAGAAAAAAATTAAGTCTACTGAATATTTAATGCTATATTAATAATAATCAACTTTATTTCACATTGTGTCATAAATACATTACCTAAACATAATAT